GGCCCAAACTAGTCCCATAAAGTCTTGTGTAATTTGTGGGTAATCCTAATTGGTGTCTTTCACACCGAAAAGATCCAGTCCATCACCACTATCACCAACAGTAATGGTAGTGTCAAATACACAGGCAAAAGCAGTAGCCTCCCTTGAGCACTGCTCCTTGAGAAAAATAGAGGTTTGTGTATACTTTACCTATTTTTGTGTGGTATAACCTTGGTATGTCAGCTGTACCATTACGTGTGCAATGCATAATATATCCCTGTTAAAAGAATTACACAAGAAAATATTAATCTATGTTTTTACACTGTAAATATATTCAAATCACCTTAAATGGACGATAAAATTATAGTTTTACGCGGGTTACCCTCAAATTGGTGCAGTTAAGTTCATAAGTGGAAAGGGAAATATTGGTTGATGATGTTTTAAAGAATGCGCATTATAAAATAAATATTTGATAAGAAATATGAACTTACAGCATCGGTGGTAGCATAAAAATGATTAGCATCAGATTGAGAAAAGTGTAAATGACTAACAGACAGATGGCTTACATCTCTGAATGGGGGGGAAAAAAACAATAACAAAGAAGATGAAAATTATTAGTTATGTAATTGCAAAACATTATCAAAGTAGCCAATAAACTAAGTCTTAGTGAAATATATTATTAAATTCTGTAGCTAGGCCTCACCTTTGTTTAGCTTTCAACATTATAAATGAACTCTTCATCAGCTTAATCTTCCCTCCTGGAACCAGGCCTACAAAAAAGCAATAATAATGTATATGGTGATGAGGCTCTTGATTGTTATTCTGTAAAGTATCAATTATTAAACAAAGACAATAAATGAGTACAAACCTAAATCGTATTCAGACCCTGCTATATCTGCTTTCTCTATTTCCATGACAACCTGAATATAAAAAAACCATAACAACAGTGTTCACAATGTATATAGTGGCAAAAACAGTGATAAGACATTTGCAAACTTATCCTCTCAATCATGCAAAATTTGCAACCTCCCTTGTCCCAGTTGTGCTACAGTGTAATACACTATGTATCAAAATTCAAGTGCAGCTCTAGCTTTCTGGCCAAAGACTTGTACAGACTATCAAACTAAACTGAGTAATTAGCATAAGAATGTGTTAGGATTGTATACTTTAGTACAGAGAAGCTGTAATACTTTTACTCATAACTTTGGCAATAGCGAAGTCAATTCAAGTAATGACCTACTATTTTCAAGTTTATAGTGCAGAGAATATGAATACATATTAAAAAGTCTTTTGTTTTTTTTCGGTCACTGATGCTGGTTTTAGCATGGCAAGCTGCATATAGGCACATCATGAATATACATGGGCATATCATGAATATATCGGGAACATCATGAATTTACATAGGCACATCATGAATATACATGAGAACATCATGAATATACATGGAGCATACAACAGACTTCTATCAAAGAAAATTGGATAATCTGGACAGCGCTTAAGATGCTTCCCTCAATCCCAGGGTCCAGGGTTCAAATCATGTGACACCCGGATTTGTTCTCAAATAAACTACAAATAACTGCACTCTCTAAACCACATGAGACCTATAGTCAATTCTTTAGGTGGCAAGTTACTTGGTGTTGGATTGCAATTAAATAAAAATGTTTAAAAAAAAATACATGTAATTGTACAGTCACCTGTAGCATTTACTTTTACAAACATTGCCCAAATCATTATGGTCAGTATGTGATACGGACTCCCGATCTGACGTTTGAGGGTCTGAACAACAAAGTCCTGCCGTCACAGGAATTGAACTGAAGGCCTTAGCATTAAAAGACAATCCAGACAAACTATACAACTCCGCTCCATAAACTCCACAAATTATAAAATAATAATAATATACCATTAATAATAATCATGTTTGGTTTGATAGAACAAAATAGGTCATTAAAATTAACAGGAATTTTACTTTACCCAGAAATTAACTTTTCCATTCTGCTCCATGGAGGCTAGTTGGAATGCTAAGCCTTCTTCCCTAGCAGACTGCATGCTGTCTGTTATGGAGACTACTGGCTGGATTGATACTACACAGCTATGATGATTATCCTCATTCGATACACCATCTGTGCTATATGTAGGGACCTGAACTTCAACCTTTCCCTCATTGACTGGATAAAAAGAATGCATGAATGAGGGCTCCCTCAGGTCCCATGCAACAACCGAGCCATCCTCCTGTGGTAATTAAAAATGTAAAAAAAAACTTTGAAATTCAAATATTTTCATAAAAAATATATTTAAGAATAAAATATCAATAATACAAAAAAATTAATATCAAAAATGTGGTTTAAAAGCACATTTTGGACCACCGTTGACCGAGGCTTCCCCTGCCGCTTGGCTTGGACTCTCTGCAGTACATGTTGGACCCCTTGACGGCAAATTTCTGGCACCACCACTGACAATACAGTCTTCTTTGGTAACCTCTTGTACTATGCTTTATGTATGTTATTTTTTAAATACAAAATAATCAATAAATGATATATGAAAGTGTACTTCGCCTATTCTTAAGGTCTGATTAAATCCTAAATAATCATCATGTAAATGTTTTACTAACAAATAGCTGTACAATGCCTAAATGTCATGAATTATAGATATAAACAATTAGGGTAGAAAGACTTACAGTTCCAGCAAACACAGATGATGTTTTAGAAGGGCTAAAACAGCAGCAACTAATGGGTGACTGACAAGACAGAACTCTGAAGCAAAAATACAATGTTATAATTATCAGAAAATGGCTGATTGGCGTAATTATAATAATAATAATATGCATGTGTACAATGTAATTAATTAGAGTAAAAAATTCCATTAGAGTGTAAACCATATAGAACTTACAGGTCAGTTCGTTGAGAAAACAAGTTGGATAGAGTTTTGGATCGAATTTTGATGGAGAAAATACAGTTGAAACTTGCCTAAGTCAAATCCAAAATGGCATTGAAAAACTTGGACAAAATTCAACTTACTGATCATTAATTAATGGAAAACACAACAATTTGGCATGTAAAATAAGATCAACTGGGAAATTATTAGAGTTAAACAAAGTAAATCTTACGCAATTTTAACAGTACATTGTTGAAAATAATAGGTCTAGGTCGCAAATAGACAAAAGTGTGGCCCGCTGGCCACATGCGACCTGATGGTAATTTTTTGTGGCTAACGACAACCCTATATATGTGGCCAGCCTACCATCTTTGGCACAAAAATTCAGATGGAGAAAATACAGTTGAAACTTGCCTAAGTCAAATCCAAAATGGCTATTGAAAAACTTGGACTTAGACAAAATTCAACTTACTGATCATTAATTAATGGAAAACACAACAATTTGGCATGTAAAATAAGATCGACTGAGAAATTATTAGAGTTAAACAAAGTAAATCTTACGCAATTTTAACAGTACATTGTTGAAAATAATAGGTCTAGGTCGCAAATAGACAAAAGTGTGGCCCGCTGGCCACATGCGACCCGATGGTAATTTTTTTTGTGGCTAGCGACAACCCTATGTGTGTGGCCAGCCTACCCTCTTTGGCAAAAAAATCCCTAGTTTTAAGGCTTGATACTGACCATCAGTAAAAAGAAATATCAAAACTGAGAATAAAGCACTATAAAAGCAGTGCATGAATGTTTTTCTGGAAATATCAAAGTTTGGGTGTGGTTTGGGTGTGGCTCTCTCTGTTAAAATGCAAAATTCACTTTGGCAATCCGATCAATTAGGCCCACTCCTAATCTAGATTTTGGTACTTACTTCTGTGGTTTAGTTGGCATATTCAGGTTCCAGAGACATATAAGACCACAACCACTTAAAGGATGTTTTGAAATTGACTGAAAAATACAAGGAAGAGGCTGTGAATACTCTCATTTAGTACTTAATATACTTAACTATAATTATTACAATTTCTCTATCATCAGAATTAATTATATCATTAAATTAGTATTTTGTATTAAATCATCATTATTTTTATTACTACCACTAATAAATTACCATTTCATAACCATTTTTTAATATATAATCAACATGTTAATGATCAAGCAATTATCATTATAAAGTAAGAAAAAAACAATATTAATTTTAGTAACTGTAGAATAATATCAATAAAAAAAATTGATACTAATATATATGACAAATGAAATTATAACAAATAGTTTTATACATACATTTTATACAAATAATTTTAAACATGTCTTTGAAAACAATAATTTTAAAGACTTACAGTCTAATGAGCAAACCAGTATTAATAATAACTAGAGTAGAAACCCCAATAACAGGGACACCATCGAGACCAAAAAAAGTGTCCCCTTAAAAATAGGGGTGTGTCGGGTGAATATGGGTCTGGTTAGTAACAACTTTTAGAATGGCACCTTACAAATGGAATGATTGATTTATTGACTGATTTATTGATTGGGTTTACTGATTGATTGTTGGGGGGTAACAGGGTTTACTGATTACTGGGTTGGCCATAGTATTGAAAGACATGTTCCTCATTTCATGGCCAAAAAAGTGTCCCTTTAATAGGGCTTTCTCAAAGGAGGGTTCTACTGTACTTAGATACATAAATTTAAAAAAAAACAAAAACAAAAACGATGAAACTGCTACAATTGTATTGCACAAAATAATTTCGATTTAGCACATGCAAAGGCTGCTTAATATTAGATATAAAGATGCATCTTCAATGTTATGTACATGCTTGCAATAGCGTAAAAAGAATGTCTGTCGCATTGGACAAAGATGTAATACAACAATGTTTCTATATACTGTACACAGCACAATACCAACTGCTTTCTCCTTTTTAAAATTGGATGTAGTAGGATTTATATCAATTTAATATATTATGTTGTAAGGCTAAATGTAAGGTCGCCCTCTATGTGTGGCAAGACGAATAGCATGTTTAATAGAGCCTCCCTGTGGAGTTAGATCACTCCATAAATGTAACACTTCATTGATAATCTTCTGTCAATAACATGGAATCAGAGGTAAATATACATCAAATGTTTAGAGAGATTAGTTTGTTTATCTAGCCTTAACACAACTAAGTACAAGCCTAGGTTCCACACCAATTAAAACAGACATAAAAATACCATTTATAAATACAGTACAGTATTACTCTGTGCACAGACAGCGTGACTGGTAATGGATTTATAAAAAAAACTTCATAGTAAATTGTTTAAAAGTGTAAATCAGAAAAAAAAATCCCAAGAGATTTGATATGTCATTGAAGATTTATTTGATACTTTATATTCAAAATTTCATTTTAATTAATTTAATTAAATGTTAATTTAAAATTCTGTCCAGAGTATCAAATTTTTTCTTACAAAAACCTGTCTGACAATAGCATGATGTGCTTATATGGTCATGATGTGCCTATATATGGTCATGGTGTGCCTATATATGGTCATTTTGTGATGTCATCATGACCATATTTAGTCATGCCAATTTGATAGTCTGGAGAAGGTTTTATGTTCAATATTATTACAATAGGGCTTGAAAAAAAAACAAAAATCAGCAAAGCAATGCAGAGTGATAATAATTAAACAAAAACAAATCACATGCAAAAAAAAAAACAAAAATAAGTGACAGTAAATTCCATCTTATTTGAATGATAAATAGAAAAAAACACAATCTGTGCTGATACCTTTGTCTTTGCTTTCTTATCGTCCTTCAAAATATCAAGGAAAAAACAAACAAGATTTATAAGTAATTTCTACTAAATCAAAGACAACTGGAATAATTTAATCAACGTAGCTCAAGCATAATTGGTTAAAATACCATGGTCCTGGGTTCTGGTCTTGCCATGTGAATGTGGCGGACATTATAGTTGCGGACCAATGTATACGTAATAGAGGGAGCCAGTCAGGGACTTTTCACCAAGGGAGAAAAATTTTGATTATTTCACCTCTAGATGAAGGGAAATGGCACTACTCAGATTTTTAATTTTAATATAATTTTCTTTCTTTCTCTATTTTTTTTGTATAAATTTGAAAAATTTAGGGTGGAGAGGCAGGGCGGGGCTGGCTGGCCCCTTCCCCCTTGAATTCACCACACTGCTCATCACCAAACACAGCTCCCTTCCATAAACCTTATAAGACTCAGTCTATGTAGAGCATAAATTGTATATGATTGTCACATTGTGTATTTTTATCAACTCTTATTTGTCACCACCCAAATCACCCCCTCCCAACAACTCCCTACAGTATATCCACCAACTAATGCCAACCCACCCCCACCACTTTGCTCTCTTGATAGTCAATGTGCTTTTAAAGAATGTAAATTATATTTGAGTTGTTGTACTTACAAGCCTAGGTAAAGTGTGAGCTGTAAGTAGTAGATTGGTCTGTACAGGGTGAAATTGCACTTGCAACACATCACGCCCTGAAAGTAATCATTTTTAGATTGAAGGATCCTTATCAACAAGAAAATTATATCTTTGGTAATCTGACAACACAAAAAATTGTTAGCTATAACTATACAAAAACTATACAAAACCAACATAATAGTAGAAAGAAAGTAACTATATCATTATTATATACAACATACACAGACTGGAATCTGATTGGTTAAGAAGCAGGCAATTATAAAAATTGTTGCCCTGTCGCGCGATGTGCAATCTCTAGGCTGCGTTGATATGTAATTTATGTATAAGGTAATAAAAACAAATACTGACTGCTCTAGTTTTAGGGCAATGGTGCAATCTATAGAGTACTGCAGTGTTACTTCACGACACCACGTGATACTACTCCGTTGCTATCGTTGCAAAATGCGTTGATCGCAATTTCTAACATAATTATTAAGATGTTGTATCTTAGTTTTTCTTTGTAGATTTCAATTGATGATTAAATGTGTGTTTGATAACTAGTATAATGCGAGCTTTTGTGTTTTTAGTACATTTTGATTGTAAAATATTAGATTTTACGATGCCTATTCCAGAAAGCCTATGCAGGCATTCAGGCGTAATGCCTGGTTGGCAACAAAGGGCGCTACCTGGCGTTGTGACGACACGACTGTGGTAATCTATAGTCCCTTGGTGATTTTTTATCTCTTGTAGTGAAACCACCACTTTTATTTATCACAAAAAAAAACATTCCATCAAAACAACACAAGATTCAAATCAAATTCAATAAAATGACTGAACATCATCAATAAGTGTATTTTTTTTTTTCAACGTTAATATTTTCACCTTTTTAAAAATTTATTTTCTATTATATTGTTTATTTGTATTGTTAATTTATTGGTTTTTTACATCAGTGATACAGAAAATCAAGGCACCAAAATTCCAACAGCCAAATACAGTATATGAATGTTATCTGTGCATAATAGATCTAACAAGTCGTACAAACACTTAAGATCCCTGGATGCAACAGATCGAAATATCTTATTATTGCAGTTGATCCTCCATTTTATCTCGGCGATAAATAGAGCAAATAGAGATCTACTACCCCATTGGTCATTTTCTAATAGAATTTTTCTCTTGTAAATGCTAAATGCCCCCATAGATATCAACCAATTAGCAAGCCTTGGTGATGTGGAGAATGTAGACTATCTTTCCGAGGGCCAAGGGAAGATAGGCTACAGTCTCCACCAAAACCGGCATCCTGATGGTAAATGCTAAACTGAGAAATTAGCATAATAATGCGGCAGTATTGTATACTTTATTGTTCTATAGTACAGAAGCCATAATACTTTTACTCACAACTTTGGCAATAGTAAGTCAATTGACCTATTGACCTATCACCTCAAAGGTTATAATATGGAGAATATGAATATCATGAATAAATTAAAAAGTCAATTTTCTTGTTTTGGTCACTGATGCTGATTTCGGAATGGCAAGCCTCAAATATCATATCTGATGTTGTCAAATTCATCATTATTTCATTCATCACCATCATTAACATCAATGTCATATCATCAGAACTTAGTATTAATATATTATTCTTACCTTCAAGGAAAGTGTGATTGGTTGTGAGGTTAGTGAAACCTCGACTAAAACAAAGGTTACTGGATTGGAGACTACTATGATGGCTGCCTGCCGCCTCTTCTTCCAACAGCGTGCTGATTACGTTGGCAGCTTTGTCCAGGAAGCGAGCAAGTCGCATGGAATCTTCTCCCTTAAACATAGTGTTATTCTCGTCCTCCTTTGATGAACCTTCTCCTAAAAATATATAAACGTAACATATTTTGTTTACATTTTTCCCTCTATATAATTTAATATAATTTATGGCTTTAACTTACAAATGAAGCTGAGATAATCTCAATTTCATGAAAGTAAATCAATACCGCTCGCTAATGTAAACAAACAAATAGTGAAATACTTACGGTCCAGACTGAATATAGTGTTCAAATTGTTAGTACATATCGGTATTTACCCCATCTATTGGATTCCGTAAAAAAACCTGAACCTGGGATCTCTGTGTTTGGCCAGCAGAGTGTTAAAGAACCCATTGCATCTTTCGGAAGAGTAGGGGGTTACCCTGATGCATGGTTCATTTCAGCCACTGTCGTTGTGGAATGATGTGAACATATAGCTACCATGAAGTGCCTCTTTACGGCTGCTAGGCAGAGACATATGCAAGTTGTGGGTCATTCTCCTACCTACCTACCTACCTTCCTACCTTCATTACAAGGAAGTGGAGTTGTTTATAGGTGTAACCCATATCCTGGTTTTATCTAATAAAATTTTTTTTTTTCAATATTAAATTACTTAATTGATAATTCTAAAACAAAAACACCATACCGCCACATCCTCTTGAATCGTCTGCAGGATGCTGCGTCCATTTTGTGTCTACTTCTATCTCTTCAGTCTGAATTTCACGTTCTAGGTTGTCTTCATTACATTGGACATAAGCCTGAACAAATTTGCATTTAAATGGTAAAATTCTAATCATCTTGGAAAAAGAATGTTTACATATTTATAAACTGTAGAGGTCTCACTTCAACTTGCAATAAATTATATTATACTGGGATATGATTTGTCTAACAAATTATAAGCTATTAATATGCCAGAGATGGTAAAATATGTACCTGTTTTGTATTAGACTGTCCAAAGCTTCTAATATAAAGATCATACTCATTCACTGGTGCCATGTCCAAGAGGTCAAAGTTAACTACATCCAGGTCAAGTAGAGCCATTAGTTCCTTGCCGCGCTTACGGGTTTTCTGCGAGACCTTGTCGCTGATTTGACGCTGTTTTGCAGCAACAAAATTAACGAATGTACGACCAGTTCTAGAAGTTGTAGGTCGTGCTGATAACAAAAAAGTTAAAAGATTATAATATATTATATGCCACTATTATTATATTATTATTATATTATTTGTAATTAGACTGAAATAAAAGAAGCTATAACACAATATAACATTGTTAATATTTTTCTGCCAGAAAAAGAAAATGTCATAATTACAAGTCATGGTAGACATGAGGAATGTTTAAATCATGTAACATGGTTAAAATTTTAAAAAAAATAATTGACTAAAATAAAAGACAAGTTCTTACTTACATGATGAGGATGATGATGATGTTCCGCCTCCCTAAGAAAGCAGAAAAACTTATGATTTATGCCAATTTATTGTTTGTTACATAAATTATTCTCTTTACTAAAACATTTTGAACACCGAAATATAGATTGCCATAAAACAATCACTGAAACAAGAACAGACAATATATCTATTCTAATAATATCTGTATTTATAGTTCTTAAAAAGCCAGTAACTAAATTAAAATATAAATCAATTGAAAAGGAGTATAAAAACCTATTAACACTATATCTCATTTTTTATTAATCTACTTTCTTATTCATTTTTTCAAGTATAAAATTTGCCAAAACATTTACAAACAGCAGACTAAGGCTTAAATGGTCTGAATTACAAAAGCCATAAAAATATGAAAATAAATACAAATTAAATTACACATCAAAATAACATTAGGAAAATAATACAAAGACAACAATATTCCTCCATGCTACTTGCTACCCCCTGTTTTAAACACCTGAATACAACATTTTAAAAAACATGTTACAATTAATATGAGAATATATTATTAATATTATGATTTAAAAACTGCACAAAATTAAACACATTCAAAACAATCCCTAGTCATATTTTATCAGGTACCTCGGCTCATTAATTGAATTATTTTGTCAGGCCTACTCATATTTTTGTATTTTTGCTATTGTTATTATTTGTATGACTGCGTGCCATGAAGCTTAGCCTTTTTGTTATGCCACTTTTTGTTAATTAAGTTGCAAGTGAAGAAAATTGAAACTGAAATGTTGGATTGTTCCAATTTAAATGAAGGTTGAAGAGATCGATGATTATACTTACCATGCTCCTTCTTAATGTTGCCTCATTTTCCTCAGCCATTGCTCTACGCAGCTCATCATATTCAGATTTCTACCGAATTAAAATGTTGGCGTAATCAAATATTTTTAAAAATTAAACTTTTTCCTCAAATTGATTCTCTTCCAATAAAAAACTCCTAAACTTCAAAACCACCAACATAGGACAAGTGTTATCCAAAAGCTCTGTGTAAATTTTATATCTTGTATACTGCATATATTTTGTACCAGTTATTAATACAGTTATATCTCAACCGAGATCCAGGATTGTTAAAAACAGAAACTGACTTACTGTGACTGGAGTTTTTTCGGATTCATCATCTTCATTGTCATCTTCAAAATCATCATCATCATAATCCTAAAATAAAATGATGATTACAATTGAATACAAGCAGTCAATAATCAGAGAATTCAAAAATTTTGTTTCACAGCTTTCTACAAACTAATAATAAAACATGCATTTCCATCAGATAAAGGACTAGTTATTAATAGTCCCAAAAGTAGTGTCATCCAAATGCCAACTTCATTGTCAATGGCTACCAGATGTCTCTGTTAAGACAGTTACTTGGCCCAGTACCAGTAATCAAGGGCAAAACATCCCAGTCATCTTGCCCTCAATAAGAACATTTGTTTTACAGACAATGTGAGGCAAGAATTAATATAAACTTATTTTGATGTGTGTTAGCGTCAGGAAAATATCATACAAGTGATAATTTTCCTGACAAAATCACAACGAAATAGCATTGCCATAACCGCTGCTTCTAGGGAATCAGATACAACACTAGTCACCCGGTGATATAGTGGTTATGACACATGGCTTATCTTCATGTCGTGGGTTCCATTTACACCTGAATCCCCTGCAAAGTTTTTCGCAAGTATTTGAGAAGGTACCGACTATTCAGCACGATAACACATGTAAATTTGTTAAGAAATGACTATACCTCAAAATCATCATCATCATAATTATCTTCATCTTCATCAAGATTTTGTTGCTGTTTCTCACTTATTTTCTCAGGTTTCAGATCTTCATCGTTGATAACCTCCTATTCAAGATTTAATCAGAAAAAGCACCATTTGTTATAGTCCGTTGTTCATACAAAATTTGAGCTGAGCAGTTTGCCAAGAGTACTGTTTCTGCTTTTTGAGCTGAAGAGAGCAGCTTAGCTCAGTCGCCTAACCTGGTGGTAGCCACTGTGTGTGTGCTGAACCGTGAAGATCTCTGGGTCCCCCGGTTCAATTCCCATCACAGCCTCTCCTTGTGTTTCAGCTGGAGGGCTGAAATACAAGTTACGATAGCGCACCGTCTTTCGAATGAGACATTTAAGACGTTGGTCTTGTGTGCATTTATGGCCCATGTGCACGTTAAAGAACGCAGTACACTCTTCGGAAAAGAGTAGGGGATTGTCTCCCAGTGTACTGCCCAATCACCACTAGAAGGACCCCACTGGAAATAAGTCATCTTCTAGACTTTCGTGGGCTAGCCTTGGTGTTTATACCGAATAAATCAAATCAAATCCAATCCAAGAGCAAAGTTTAAAACCAGAATGGGTCGGCTTTTACTTGGAGTCAGTTTGCTAGGCTCCCCAAATAAGCCTAATAAAATAATAATTTAATCTAATACACTGATTGGAAAAGCCAAGACAGAATGAAAACGACAAATAACATGAGCTGACCCTTATAAAGCTGGTGCATATATTTATTTAATTAATTCTTTAATGCATGTTGAAAATGTAAACACCCTGATTGGTAGGACATCATGCAACTCAGCTGAAGAGCAAGCACATTGAATAAAAACACAATACGAGAACGATATTAAAGTAATACGATAGACACACAGCAAACAAAGCGATGCATCATTCAGAATAGGTTAGAGCAGGGGGTTGGCATATAGTGGGTCAGAGGGCTGAAGTTATTTTTTCAACATTGAGGCTCAACCCAAACTTCAATGTTTCCAATGGGCCTACAAAAACCTTCATGCACTGCTTTAAAACAGCTTCATGCTCACTTTATATTAGTTTTTTTTTTTGTTTTTTTTTTGTTTTTTTTTTAATGGCGATTGGCATCAGGCCCTAAAAACAAGGGGTTTTCTAGCAAAAGGTGGAAGATGGGCCATGCATATCACTTTGCCCACCTGTGGTAGGTTGGGAAATCTGTAGAGAATATATATGAAAATGCATTCATGATTAGTACAATAACCTGACCAAAACTGCTATAAGCAAATGATATTATTAAAAGATGAAATGCTTCGCAAGCAAATTCAATTCAACAAACAAAACAAATTACAGCTGATTCCGTTGGTTCAATTAGGAATGTCTGTCCAAAGCCCTCATGGTTGTTAAGTTTCTCTTTCCTTTGTATCTCTGACTGCTTCTCTGCTTCCTCATCATGAAATTCCTGGTGTCAGCAAACATTGGAAAGAACTTTAAACAGTTTTTGACACATATAACTAAACATTTTATTTGACTTATATGTCTATAGTAGGACTGTAGTTGTAGAAAACTAAGAGTGGTAGACATTTAAGGGTGGGGGTTGATAACAATGGTAAACTCTAAACAATGAATGGATTTTAAGGATGAGCAAGGAGGTTAATGAAGGTGGGCTGAGGCCTTGAAATTAGCTTTAGACTGCATGAAAAACAAGGCTGGGTGGCCCAACCCCTGTCTCTTATACACATCTAGATGTGTATAAGAGACAGCCGTTGTTCATACAAAATTTGAGCTGAGCAGTTTGCCAAGAGTACTGTTTCTGCTTTTTGAGCTGAAGAGAGCAGCTTAGCTCAGTCGCCTAACCTGGTGGTAGCCACTGTGTGTGCGCTGAACCGTGGAGATCTTTAGAGCTGTCTCTTATACACATCTAGATGTGTATAAGAGATTTTTTTTATATTTTCATAAAAACTTCATACACTGCTGACCTTGACCCCCAAGCATGTGTTTTTGTATTCTAGTGAAAATGGATGTCCTAGCTGTGTCAAGTAAACACGGCCTGGACTCAAGGGGATCAGAGGTAGCTGTAGCCAATCAAACAGTACTCCACTAAAAATTTCTTTTTCAGGTTACAAAAATTTGAAATAAAACAACTTTTTTTTATTCCTATCCAGTGGAAAGAGATTTTACCTCTTCTTTAGATTTTCCCGTTTTTCTGCTGTCATCCTTTTCCTCCTTATGTTGTTTCCTTCGATCTCTATCATCATCACTAGGCCTTCTACGACGTTCTCTATGTTTATTCTCATCATTGTCTTCATGTTTTCGTTGATCCTCTCTGTGTTTTCTGTCTTCTCTTCTCCTCTCTCTATCCCTGCTGTCACTGTCGTGGTCTCTTTCTCGTCTCTCAGATCTTCTACGATCTTTATGAGCGCTACCATTTTCTACAGCTTCCTAATATTTTTAATACACACAGAACACAAGCAATCCAGTACATAGGTTTAGCTTTAAGCACATGAATACAAAACAAATCATACATCAAATCAGGGTTTTAGAATGTTAAATGTAAAGGGTTAAAGGTAGGATTAACCCTATGAATATAATTTTAATTAAAAAAAATCTTGTGATTCCCAACAAACATCTTTGAAAAAAACATCTTTGAAAATGAAGAAATACTTTACCTCTGTCTTGTTAAACAAATATGAAAGAATGACATACAATTTGCATACCCTAAGAAATCTATTATGGAGCACAAATATATATTCAAAAGCTGTTAATTATTAAACAAAGCTTTAAAATATTTAGTTCATACGCTACAAATTGATTCTAATTGATACCTTTTCTCTATGTCGCCTTTCACGTTCCTTTTCTTTTCGTTTTCTTCGTTCCTCCTCCGTCTTGGGAAAAAAAAGGCATTACTTCATAAGAAACCTTATTATTATAATTAATTCAATGTAATTTACAGGCATTTACTGTTTCTAAATTCATTTATAAAGGCAATTGGGCCAATTATTGCATAATTATAATGAACATAATTACTTGTACATTAAGTACAAGACACAAGATACAAGATAAAATTTACTGTCTCCAGTTAAAATAAACGAAGAAATAGTAATCTCTTCCAACATAACAAATACACTACATGATATCCTACGTAAACAACTTCATGTCTTAGGAAGTGGAGTTGCTTTTGGTTGTGAAGAAAAACTCTGTTATTCGTCAGTTTGACCTCAAACCCTTGGATTAGAAGGCAAGCATCTTAAGTTAAACCTCCACTATTGTCATGATAATGACTCAGAAAATACTGGGGGGTTTTTAATGACAGTGCCCATAGTCCAATCGTAAGATTGTCAGTTTTTAAAACCAAAAATCCATTTAAAAAAAAGTCATTTTCTTGAGCTGACTTCCGTGAGCCAATTGATAATAAGGTAGAAAAACACGCAAATATTCTGAATTTGTGGGAGATGAGTTATTTTCAGAAAGATTTTTGCTTGCCTGTGGGAGTACGGAGGCCATCCCAATTTCTACGAGACTCCTGTGAATTCCAGGAAACTTGGGACCCCTGTTACTGCGAAGAACAATTTACCTTGGGAATAACCATCTATAAACAAAATTATATAAAATAATAAATTTGCCCATACTTCATCCCGATGTTTTCTTTCCCTTCTTTTTCCAGAATCTTTCCTTTCATCATCATCCTCATGCCTTCTCCTCCTCCTCCTCTCCTTGTCATCTTTTTCATGATCTCTGTCTTCTTCTTCTCTTCTATGTTTTCTCCTTTCCCTATCATCATCATCTTTTTTTTTATCATTGCCATGTCTCCCAGATTTTGATCGTTCTTCTTCCTTCTTCCTCCGCCTCCTTTCATCGTCATCCTCTTTTGGCCTTCTCCGTTCCTTATCCTCCCTATGTCTTCGATCATCCTAGCAGAATAATACATAGTAATAATAATAATAGTATACAAATATTGACTGTTCAGGAGGGGAATGGTGAAATCTATTGCCCCGAGGTGATGTGGAGACCGAGGGGATATTTCCCGGTTTCCCGAATCTAGAGGAGTCAATATTTGTTTTATATGCCTCACATATAAATTCTATGAGGCCTAAAAAGGTAATGAAAAGAGTACCCATCAAGTAAGCTTTGGCTTACTTTCTAGGCCTAGGTGATCAAAGGGCTAATCTCTCATGAGGTCCCATCACTTTTACCATATGTGCATGGGTGCATGCCATGAATTGCATATCAAAGTTACACAGTATGTGTGGCAAGAGATTACATCGCGATAGGGCTAAAAAGTACAATCATTTAACGTGACAGTACTTTTTTCCCCAGGAATTTGTGAACTAACATTCAACTTATGTCATAGGACTGTGATCGTTGAAGTTATTACCCGCTTTTTAACCAATCAGATGCCTAGAATCTATATATGGATGGTAAATTAAATTCACAAAGGACTAAAGCCCTGTCCAGACTATCAAATGTTTTTTGACAAAAACATGTGACATGCCTACATATGGTCATGATGACATCACATCATGACCATATATAGGCACATCATGACATCCATAGTCTCGTCAGAGCTTCAGATTTGGAAGCATATATAAAGTTGTATTTTCTGATGTACAGTAACTTAAATTATTTTTATATCAACAATGAGATGTCTGCATACCACTTTTGGTTCTCTCATCTTTTTAATGAAATAATACGACCGCATGAGTGATAACATGGCATACATAACAGATTATTAGCTCTTACTTTCTCATCGTCCCTATGTTCTCTTCTGTTTTCTCGATCTCTTGTCTCTCGTCTGTCTTTCTCTCTACTTCCTTGATCTACAAATAAACCAATGAAAAGTGTTATGTGGCCATAATTCACTTATGTATATAAGTCTGCCATCCACAGTTTACTAAATTTAAAGTCAGACACTAAAATAAATAAATATAATTAAACTGCAGACGGGATTCTATGGAGAACGTGCAATGGATAATTTTTAATCCAGTCAGACTGCCACCAACAATCAGCAGACTGCGTTGTCCTCTAGCGATCACAGGGTGCTGAGTTGGATTCGTCATACAACGCAGAGAGTGCCTGGCTTTAGGCATTAAAAACAGGTTGGACACACACTTCTTTGATTCTTCCTCAAAAAGCTGGCTTTTAAGTTGGGGACACACTACTGTATATCAGCTGGCATTAAAGTTGGCTGACAAATCCATCTCCAGTCTTTGTAAGCGCTTGCCGATGCAACGTTGTCTGTTGATTGTCAGTAGCAGTCCGCGTCGATATTAAATTGAAAACGATCATTTTCTTTTGGAATCGCCATTGACCATCACAGTGTGTGTCCAGTTTTATAGTTTACAAACATCATTTTAAAGAATCAAACCGCCTCCTTTGTTAATACATTAATACAATTATGTATTAATGTAATAACATTAATACAATTATGACAACTAATGCAGAAATAAAAGTTAGAAATTTTAATAAATTTATGACATATTAAAACATAAAAGCAATATTCTCTTTAAAATGCATTAATTTAACGCCAAAATCGAGACATACAATTCAAACAACACCAAATATCAATTCAACACTGTAGGTTTACCTTTTTCCTCTTTTCGCTTCCTCCTTTCACGATCATCCCGTTCTCCATCTCTTCTACTTTTTGAATCCTTTGATCTCTCTTTTCGAGATTCTTTCATGGAGTTCTTCAATTCATCTTCACCCCATGTATCCACCAATTTTTTACGCTGTAAAATAAAATACACTTGAATGATTAAAGTCTGTGGTTCATACTAAAGATGCTTTAAATTCTATATATACAGTTCATTGCATTGTTGTGCATAATTCATAGTATATGCTAAATAATAATTAATGAGTTATCATACTGTATTTGCTTTTGAATAAACTTTTTTTTTGTCTATGAAAATGTTGATTTCTTTATTGATTGATGTCATACTTTCAGTTACAAATTACGTACGATGTTCCACAAACTTTCAGGACTGGGGAATTGGGACTGGGGAATTGGGACTGGGGACCAAAAACTCTAATAAGACTAGTTCTACTACTAGGGCCTTGACTAGGCCTGGCCCTAGGCTTAGATTCATTAACATTTATTGCATAATATGGTCAAAGAAAATTACAATAATTACAATAATAGATACTATGAAAATATGAAATTGAAATACATACTTTTGTTTTGTATGTTTGTTGATATAATTTTTTTTTAAACATGTGTCATCTCTATTCTATTCTAATCTTGCTAGGCTAGTCTAGGCTACCCCTCTCAGTCAGTGTTTAGGCCTACGACTAAACTAGGCTGTCTATGCCAGTCAGAGAGAAAGCCAGGAGGACTCGACTCGAGGAGGCAGCAGAAGGAACGGGAATGATAGGCTAGCTAGGCCTATTTATAGGCTAGGCCTAGGCTATAGTTAGGCACTCCACTGACTGACTCGAGTCCGTCAGAAATAAATTGACTGTGCTAGCCTAGGCCTAGCTTCTTAAACGAAATGATTGAAAGGTTGTATGCCTCAGAAAGCAACGTTATGATTATGAGAAAATAACTAACCCTTTCAGAAGGCATTTTCCAAAAAAAAAAAGTGAAAGTAAACCCTCTAGTCACTGCCTACTCAGACCACGGCATAATGAATGTTTTGGTAAAGAAGGAATGACTTATCTGCGCATGCGATTGTATATTAGATACCTAACCTCGTCCTAGACTTGTATTTTATGGTAATGTAAATCCTATATGCCGTTGATCAATCATTTAACAGAGCCTAGGGTCTAACCTTTGACATTATCCAGGAATTACAATGTTTTGATTGTGGCGACCAGTTTTTGGTTGAAATAGTAATTAGCAGATAATTTCTTTATGGAATGAAGTAAGACCTATCAATACTTCACACATTTGAAAGAAAATAAGATAAACTATCAGGTTAGTCAAAAGTTTATTAAATTTCATGAGAGATGCACTGCTCTAAAAGTTACTTCACATGGTACAAAAACAACGCAACTGTAGGCTTGGCCAACGACGACGGACGGAAAAGATCTAGGGCCTATTTTCGGCGATAGAAATAGTGTATGAATGAACGACGTATGCCTACGGTTGTTCCTAAATGTTGAATAACTTCTTAATCTTGAGAAAAAAATGTGATAAATTATGGATTTTTTTTTAGTTCGTTACATAAGTCTAATTTAAAAGTAAATACATGACCATTGCCAGATTTAAAAGCTTGCAAAACAACTTTGATTTGTGCTTACCTTTTTAATATAATTATTTGTACTGTCTGTAGTTTAATAACTTTCAAACTGTTGTCTCATTAATTAGACGAATGTGTGTATGGATGTCTTGTTTGTTGATACTATTTTTTTTTTTTTAACAATTTCTATTTTAAAAGGATTATTTCCTTTTTAAATTTAAAAGCAGTCATTTCATAATAATAAATTAAATAAAATAGGAAGTGTAATACTAAATAGTAAGAAAACTAAAAACGTGCTGGGAATACTTATTCTTTTCTGTTTCATGAAAAGAAAAAAAAAATTGTTTTTTACATCATAGTGGTGTGGATCAATAGGGAGCTTTCTATTTGTGCGACGACGCGACGCTAGAACGTGATCACTCATGCGTGACCGTCCTACATTGCATACGTAGATAATAATAATAATAATTAATAAACAAAATTTATACTAATGCACCAGTATCCGTTGCAGATGCTCATGGTGCACTGACATGTCTGAGCTATAGGCCAAAATAAATTAACAAAATGAATAAAATAAAAATTTAAATAATATAAGAAACGCGAAAATAAAAAATTGAAATTGTGTTTCAGAATCTACTTGACAAGGTGACCTTAACGTTCTCGCATGTGCAGATGACTTTTAGTGACACCATCGTCGTGCAATCGAAAGCTCCTATATGAACCTGGTATTCAACCCCGTGCCCACAGGTCAACTCCAGCCTCCCGACAACTTTAATCTTGCCTGCAATAGTTGCTATAAAAAAAAGAGTATTTTTTGAAGACAACTTTCCCATGGCCAAATAAGAATGACCTAATCTCAAAACTTTGTCATTTACAGGAAAAAATCGAAATTAATAGAATTATTGATGATCTTTAGTAAGGGATGCTTAGAAAGTAATGAGACCCTGTCAGGATTGAAACCAATCATTTCGTGGGACAACACTGCTTTGAAAAAAACATTTTTATAGTCTGAGAGTGCTATTTCGGGGCATATTTTTTAGTCAAAAAGTTCTTATATACAGTAAACAGTGGCTACTTCTAATAGGCCCATATGATGATGACAGGAAATAAGTTGGTTTGTGATTGAAGAAATTTAGAAGAATAAAATTATGTTTCCCCCCCCCCTCTCTCTCCTGGCCCAAACTGACTGGCACTGGCCACCAGCTTAAAAGGTTGAATACCCAGGGTCTATGACATGTAGTAAGTACATAGTGCCATGAGACCATTGGTGGAGGAACACTTTATAAATGTTCTAATTATTATTATTGTTGTTGTTGTTGTTGTTGTTGTTGTTGTTGTTGTTGTTGTTACTATTATTATTATTATTATTATTATTATTATTATTATTATTATTATTATTATTATTGTTATTATTATTATTTGGTGTGTTCCTAATTAAGTTATTAAACACCTGATTTTTCTTTAAAGAAGGAATGCTATTAAATAGTGTTTAGGAGGTTCCTAGTATTGATTTTTTTAACAGGTAACATATTTATTTTTCATTTTCTCCCAATTAGAGCTTAAGATGCCTGCCTCCTAATCTGGACCTCGAGCGAGTGAGCCAAGGTTGTTTTCTTCATCAGTGAAAATCTTTGATCGACAGTAGAGCTGGAAGGGTTAATAGTCACGTCAGTGTGCTTTTCAACCCAGCCTCTGATGGAAGGTCTGCTCACTGCTGTATCTCTTGATGGCAGTGATAGCGTGGAAAATCCATTCCTTGTAAGAAATGATTATTTAACATCAGACAATTACAGTTATTTTGATAAGGTTTGTGCTTCTAATCAAAAGGTCAAAAATCAAGCCTGAGGCTATGTTGTGTCCTTTGGAAAAACTTATCCATGTCGTCTTCCTCCAAAATATATCTCTTAATAAGTTCGTATGATAATTCACTGATTACCATATATTCTCTTATAAATAATAAATTATAGCAAATTATATGCCCAACATACAAAAATTCAAACTCGGGAGTCGTCTTATATGTAGATCGACTTATACGCGAGAATACAGTATACGGTACTAACTGCAACATTACGCACTCATATCCAGAAGAAATGTGGTGTTTGCCTACACTGGCATCTTTGATTGGGTTATCATGTTTACACAGAATAAATCAGATCCAAAACAAAATTACAACCAAAACCTTGGACTTCAACATTTGGAATTCTGAGGTGGAAGTGGCTGGCACAGGAGTTGTGGTTTGGACTCTCAACTGCGAGGTCATTGGTTCGACCCTTTCTCCACCCAGATAAGGTGCGGTCTACAAGAGAAGGTTGCACTTTGTACTGGTTGGCCAATTTATATGGATCCAATGGCCACTGCTAGAGCCATGAATCTTTCAGCAAAAGATGCAATATATATTTCTACAGTATATTATTATAATCATCATCTTAATCGTCATCGTCATTACTTCATCATTATCATTATTATTATTGAATATAATTATTATTATTGTCACTTGAACTGTTTCTTTACAGCCATATACAGAAGATGTCTTCAATGAGCTTCTAGACGAAGTGACACTTGGGTTGTGTTTTGAAATTCACCGATCATGTAAAATAGGAACATTTTTTTTAGAGGATGTCGATGAAGAGTAAGAACTGTTTCCTTATTTTGTGAAATCCAAGTATATCTTATGTTTAATGATTAAATTAATCATAAAATGGCAATTATTTAAAAGGTCTGAGGTCAATCGCACCCACTTCAACAAATTTATGACATCATATTCTGGATGAGTCATTCAGTAGATTAGACAATCAGGGAATATGCAGTCTCAGCAAAGTACGAAAATGGCAAAGATAATTAGTTCATGTTAAAATCAGCAGTGTTTACATATGAGAAATAAAAAGGGAAATGAATCACTGTTAATTGACTTATTATGGTTGATGAAGAAATCTACATTAAATATAAATTGATTTATAATTTGTATTAACAATTTAGCTAAATTGTATATGTAAACTTAAATACAAAAATACTATAAATTCACTTTCTTATATTACATTCTATTTTTTAACTATCATAAATTTAAATTTAGCATATGAAATACATTAAGTTATTTGCTTTCATATAATAATTATATTTTGTTATTATTATCAATATTATTAATTTTATTAATCCTATTATTATTATTGTCAATTGTCATCATTATCATTGTCGTAGTCAAATCAACCTATTTTGTGAAGTATTTCAACCAATACATTGTAACATTTGTATTTTTGCAGCTCCCAGAAAGAATATGGTAAGTATGTATTTTAAATGATGTAAAATAATGTACCGTAGGTGATCTGAATAAAATAGGGATTGCTTTGTGTACAGAGCTTGCACATTTAAAGATGTCTTGTCCCCTAAAAATTATTTTTAAAAAATCATTTAAAAAAAATTTTTAATTAAACTTGCTCATTTTGAACATAAAAATTATTAGAAACTTGAGTATAGAAATTATTTAATTTCAAAAATGTGTACCCTGATTTTTATACCAGATAATTGTAATAAAAATAATAAAACACTACTTTCTATGTTCAAGTTGATTTGTGTGTTACTTTTAATAAAGTGAGCAAGTTAATATCAAAAATGATTTTTATGATTCTTTGAGTACATTGCATGGAGATTACATCATTAAAGGACACCACATTTCTGTTAAATAACTAAAAAAAATTATTCAAAGTCATTCTCCCTCTTATCTTATATAGCCATGGGCTTTTGGTCTGTCAAAGGTCAGTACTTGATTAGGTCCTAGCCAACATCATACCAGGTGTACCTTTAATTATTTATGATTTGTTACAAAATTATGAATAATTTTCATTATTTAATGATTATGAATGATTATGATTAATTGTTTTTATTAAGTAATTTATATTAATTTATATATATATATATATGTACTTTTACAAAACCCGTCACTTTTACGACACAATCTTGATATTTTTATTACATAACTGTATTTTAATTACTATGCTTTTAATAGCCGTATATATTACCATTATATATTTTCATCAACTATTTTGTTTAAATCCAATATATCAAATGACCAATGAATTTATATTTGTTAGTAGGCAAACAATTTATATCTGCTATCTGACCACACATAAACAATTAGTTATTCCATTAATCACCTTATTTTGTCATGCTAATATTTATGCCTAATTACTTCCTTGATGTGCCAATATACTCTATGCAAAGTTTGTTGTATGTTCAGTTCACAATGAAGAAGGTTGCAGGGACGACCGAAATATTTGTGTTAAAATAAATATATTATTATGTTCCTGAAACACGTCAACCCTCGTTTTCTGTTACTTGTTCTCAGTCTCACTACATATATATATATATATATTTATATATTTATATTAATTATATTTATTCATTTTATAGAAATAGTTCACAAAGATGGTTTAGATGTATTTGGAAACCCTCCACAGAAGAAGCAGTTAGAGTGCATCTGTCCCAACTGCGACCGCAATTTAGCTGCGTCACGGTTCGCCCCGCATCTAGAGAAATGTCTTGGGATGGGAAGAAACAGCAGTCGAATAGCAAGCCGAAGGTAACTCACTCAACCTTGCCTGCTAAAGTTTAACCCTCTAACCACTGTTAAGACCTATCCAGACAATCAAATTTTATTTGAAAAAATCATGTGACATGCCTAAATATGGTCATGAAGACATCACATCCCCTGACCATATATAGACACATCATGACTATATATGGGCACATCATGACCATATATAGGCACATCATGACTATATATGGGCACATCATGACCATATATAGGCACATCATGACTATATATGGTCATTTTTTTTTTTGTCAAAGAAAATTTGATAGTGTGGACAGAGCTAAAAATATGTCATATATTGCAACTGAATTAGTCACCTACCAGCAAAGATTGTTAATATGGGTTAAAAATTAATAAATGCTTTAAAATATTAATAACTATAGCAGTGACTCCATAGAATCAAATTTTAGCTAAGGAAAAAAAATTGTTCATTCAAGAGGATAAAATTAGACTTTTTCAATTATGAGTTTTTGTTTTTTATTTTCGGTTATAAGTCTTATGTAAAATTTTATTAATGTACTTCGCTGCCTTTCGCACAGGGTGAAAGAATCTTGTGAATAAATAAGGGTTATTATTGTTTAAAAATATTTGATACTATTCCAATACTCATAATGTAAAGTGAAAGAAAATTTTGCAATTGGAAATGTTGAATATAAATCTTACTTCCAAGCTTTCGTTACTATCTCAGCAACTTCTTCAGGGAAACTAATGTATTTACACAGATCCACATGATGTTCAAGCATGCAGTTGAGTTTGAATGATCATGTGACAACACCTCCTCCAGTACTGCCGGTAGCTCGTATCCACGGTCACGATTGAGAGTGGAGTGCCTGGTCCAAATTTCCATAGATTCTCTTATTTTCCTTGGCCAATACTTTTCTTCTCGATGAATAACTTACATGTAACAAAAGCTTGGAATTAAGATTTATATTTTATTTCAACATTTCCAATTGCAAAATTTTCTTTCACTCGACAAGGATTATTATGACCTCCACCCTGTGCCTGATTACCAACAATACATAATGCAATTTATGGGCAATTGCATTATTTTCTTCTCTTTGGCTGAATACCGAAGAATACACCACCAGACCATGTATGATGGGTGTATTCCGGCACATTATTACTTGAGTGCTACAGCATAACTTCAACAAAATAATGGAATCGCCCATCATTTTTAGGCACATTAAAACTCCTTCCTGTGCCGGCTGAGATGGGCTAGAACCTCTATTCTGGAAGTCCCTTCCTGGGCCCCCTCTATTTTGAATTCCTGGATCCGCCTCTGATTTGGATCCCACTTCTCATTATTTTTTTACCAAAATTTAATCATTTGTATGAATGTAATATTTTTACTTCTGCTAATATTTATGATTTTAGATTTAAATTGTATTCTAAATGGATTTTTTTTTTTTTTACATAGAATTGCTAACAAAGTAGAAAGTGATAATGAAGATGATGAAACAACCGACTTATCATACAATCCAGACAGACGAAGTAAGTCTAGTTAGTCTTTACAAATGTGCGATGGTTCTGGATTATGCGTTTTCTCATATTCCTGTTCTGGATGGTAGTAGCAGAGGTACGCCAGAAAGGTGTTGGGAGATGTAAGCCCTCTAGTCAGAAAGGCCAAGCCTCCTGTCAGCCACATCTTAAAACGTATTTTAATTTCCCGTTTTTTCACAAGGGCTGTTCCCACAGACCTTCTGGTCTTCATTAGAAATCTTCAGGCACCTTTATCCCACGGCGGCATTCTTAACTGGTACTATTATCCCATCAATAAGAGGGACTTGAAAAATGTACGCTCATTTCCATATTTTAATCACAATCTTCCTTATTCCCTGGCATCTAAACTAAAAAAAAATTATTTTTTTATTACACATATACAAAAAAGTATGGAAGTAGAGAGGATATAACCAAACAAGAAATAGTTGAGTTGGATTGCTTGCATTATATATTCATCAAAATATGTTGTTATTTATCTTCAGATACAAAGAAGAAACGGGACAAACTGAGCAATAACTCTCCACGTCTAAAATCTAAGTTTTCAAAAAGTAACAGAAATGGTGAGTACTAAAGTTGCATGGATAAGAGGCTTTGGATTATGCATGCAGTGCTGAAAAATTATGTTTTTATTGAAAATAGGACTGGGTATAAGCCCCCCCCCCCCCAAAAAAAAAAAAGAAAATCAAATTAGTGTAATTTTCCCCACCCAGATG